CGAATCAAATTGCTTGCGAACAATGCATCGGTCATTCATTACATAAATGTTGTTCAGCCGTGTTCAATTGTGTTGTAAGTGTCTTGGCCCTAGTCATGCCAGGTGTTGTTCCCCCTGGAGCTCGCAGCAGCAGGCGTGCTGCGGATGCTGCTGATGCTTCACCGCAGCCGTTGCAGGAAGCTGATGAGAGTGGCAGTGAGGGATCTGCTGGAAGTGGTCGGCGGGATGCTGATGATGAATCTGCTCAAGACCCAGAGTTACCATCATTGTTTTCTCAGGAGGAGCCTGAGGAGGAAGTGGAACAAGCACCTTACATCGATTCAAAGGATGGTGTTCAGACTTTGTTTAGCCCGGCTGACCAGAAGTTCCTGATCCTACCCAAGCAGTACACATGGGTTTGCAACAAGGTTGATTCGAAGTGGATGCTCGAATGCAAGGACGGCAAGCACCCTTCAAGGACTGTGACCTATGCCATGACCTCCTCAAGGGCAAAGAAATATTCACCGACTGCGCAAAAGCCAAACGACGCGAAGCAGACTGTGGCGGTTGAGAAGGGGAATGGCGGTGGCGGTGGAGATGGTGATGAGGAGAAGGAGGAGGAGAAGGAGGAGAAGAAGGAGGAGAAAAAGGAGGAGAAAAAGGACGAGAAGAAGGAGGAGAAGCATCAGAAGGTGGAGCCCGAACCGCAGGAGTTGAAGAAGAAGAAGAATGATGAGGCCGAGCCGGAGAAGAAGGATGAGCCCATGACGACAAAGGAGCCCAATACTGAGCCTCCTGCTGATGCTGAGATGGTGAATCAGAATGTGGTGGGGGAGCTTCCTAAGGGACTGCCGCCTAAGGACGAGGAAAAGAATAAGAAGGAAGTGAGTGACAGTGGAAGCAATACGACTAGGACAACGGCGGCACCATCAAGTTTGTCAAGCGCTGCCTCCAGTGCTCGTCAACCACCACCACCAGCTCCGCCAAAGGCAAAAAAGAATTCATCAAAGAAGGGTGTTGCTGCTGAGGTGGAGGTCTTGGATGAGTCGTGAGAGCTGTAGATTAGTACGATTCATTCACTATCTGGGGCGGCTGGGCATGGCAGGTCAAACATTGTTGCATTCATACTATTTAAAGTACACATCACACAAACACACACAACTTAGTGAGATGAGAGCTGTGACCTGGTGGGTTGACATGTCTGTTGAATGACCTGGTTTGAACAAAAATATTCTATTTTAACCTTATTTTGTCTATGTAAAAATAAGCATTTTTGACCTTATTTTGGCCTTATTTTGGCCTTATTTTTTACAGCAAGGTATTCTGCTTATTTTGGCCTTATTTTGACCGTATTTTGGCCTTATTTTTGCGTTATTTTTAGCCATATTTAGACCTTATTTTGACCTTATTTTTTAATGTTTTTTTTGGTTCATAATCACCCAATGTTGACCTCATGTTCACATAGAATATCAACTTATTTTAACAGCTTTTCTTCAAAGCGCAACTGTGATTTGTTTTGAAGTCGCGCCACCTGACACTCCCCCCTCCCAAAAAAAAACATAGTTTATATGTATTTGTAAATCAAAAAACTAACTATATTCAGATGACGTTGGACTGCAGTGTATTTTCACGATATAACGACTTTGTTTACTGGTGATGTGACATACTGTAGCAGGCAAATTAAAGAATGTGTGTTCAATTTTTTTCAACTGGCATTTTGAGACTCAGCCAGGGGTGGAAAAAACACGTCTATACTTAGGTTTAGACTACATTATTCAGTAATTTGTATGTTAATAGAAAAGCAATTATCCTTAAAAAACACACAATAGAATTATTTTCTGACAAACAACTGGCTGACGACTGAACACAATACAGAACAACAAGGACATGTCCATCAACAATGTTACTAGTGCAGAAGTGATTGCGGGTAAAAGTGTTGCGGCAACGACATCACTGGAATCGAATTGCTTGCCTACCCAGCCAGCCTGGTCTTGCTGGCAAGCTGACCTGACGCGCATTAAGTTCAAGCCTGGCCTGTCTGAGTGGTTGTTTGCTTTCTTGTTTCACTGCGTTGCAGCTGCAAACTGAGCCTCGAAAGTTGCTACTCAGTGACTTCCGTTAAATGGTTGAACTACAAAAAACAACCTGTCAGGGTGTTCATGAATCTGACCTGAACATGTCATGTTGTAATAGAAGTGTAGTCGTCACACATATCATAATTCCATTTGCAGGAGTTGATGGGATGACATGATGGCTCGGATCCGGTGGTTTGGGTTGCCCCCGGAGTCATAAAGCAGCCACGCACAATCCTTCATTGAACAACCCTCCATTTTCCAGGCATTTCTTGGCCATTGAATCATGGCCGACCCTGTCCGAAACGCGTCTTTGATTTGATCGAACGAGTTTGGTGAGGCAAGGTTTAGATCAATCTTGGGTTAGTCAACTTTTTTTTGTTTACTATCCGCCGTAAAAATCATCAGATATGATCACGTAGAGTCAGGCTTTCCGGAAAAAGAAACTTAATATTGTGATGCCAAACGCCAAACTCTGGGATATGTGGCCAGCTAGCGCTATGTGTTCCACAATCTTCCGTTTGTGACGGCTGACGGTGACGTCCACTCATCGGCTATAACAATGTTTTAATAATGTTATATTCAACTTATTATTGTGTCATTCTATGTTTGCGATCAGGTCACTCACATAGGTCGTTGCTGCTTGAATCGGTGCCGCAGTCATGAGGATAAGCACTCCACCGGTCACAAGCGTCCTTAGCAGCAAAGTTGCGTGAGACAGAAAAAAAGAGACGAGAAACCCAGCAAACCTTATCAAGTGTATGTTTTTTTCTATCCAAATTTCATCAGTCTGAATTGGCAAGACTTGGGACCTGTGAACTGTGGGACTTCAGTCAGGGACTCTCCGGACCAAAACACAGGCTGATTCATTGAACATTGATGTGGATTGCAGTCAGTGTACAGTAGAGCCTGTTAAGTTCAATCCTAACAAAAATATCTGCCTGCCTGCCTGACTGCTGTCATGTCATGAGGTCCTGGATTTCAATTTCATAACGATCGCAGAAGCCATTTTGGTGACCAACAGTCAGCGAATCGAATAATCGTGTTCTGTCAGTGGCCCTAGTGATTTGCGGTGCACCATGTCGTCCATTGGGTCCTGGTCTCCACCTTCATCAATTTCGTTCCCTTCGCCGGACTCTGACGATGTCTTGATGTGCCCGAGAACCCGATGGCAAACTCGCCCAGGTCAGGCCATGTCACCGTCACCATCTGCCACAGCAGCAGCACCAAGCCCTCCGATGATGATGAGCCCGGTGGCTTCTGATCCTGAACCTCAACGTGATGAGCTGCGGCGCTTGGGAAATTTGACTGCAGAGGCCATTGATGATGCAATGAAAGAACCGGAATCGGTGGAACCCCAAACCCGTCAACCTGAAAATGGTCCTCTCTTTCAACCTTGTGGCACTCATGGTGGTGGTGGCGGCAACCCCGACAATGCCTTGACTCAGCCTGACCCTGGCATCGTCATTCCTACATCCGAAAGCCCGGCTCAGGCGACCTATGCTTACGCTGTCAATGTCAATGTGAACATGTCAGGAATGACCCAAACTATCCAGTCTCAGTCAGGCAATGGTCATCCTGATCAGGGATCGGAAGACGAGGGTCCATTGCAGCAACCCCTTGGCATTTACTTTCCCATGACATTCAAAATGTACCGGCCACGTCGAGTCCAACCGCGTGCACCACCACGTCGTCCTGACAACAAGAACCAGCGTGTCATCACAGAACACTTCCAGAAGAAGAAGCCTGTGGCAACTCCCACACGGAACACCCAGGCCAAAAAGAACATCACGATTCCTGACTTTTTCCGGAGCAATTCCCTGTCGACGCAACCGGCAACATCGTCATCGGCGTCGGAAATGTTTCAGCCCTGAGTCTGAGTCCGGATCGCTTTTCAATGAATATGGCAAAATGCCAGGGAGGCAAATTGGGGTGTGTTGCCTCGGCGTTAGCCTTGTTTCAACTGGGCATCCGAACCAGACATGTAGTAGATCTGTAGTTAGAGAGACTGCCCGTCATCACAGCCAGTGACAAAGAGTCTCCTTGGCGGTGACGCGGCGAGCCAATCGTCAACAGACTTGGCAGACATAAAAAATAACGTCTGATTTCAGATGATCTCACAATTCATTATTATAGTTGATGGGATAATACCGTGTGAGGATTGTTTATTAAATAGCGGTATTGATCTTGACTAATGACAAAAGCTAGTTGTGACTGACAGTCAGTGACAGTGACAGTGACTGTGACCAATTCAGATCACCAAACAGAGTCACTCAGAACTCAGACTCTTTGGTTTCAGTTCACCAATTTTTTAATGCCAGAAGTCAGTGACTCCGATAATGTCCAAGGCACTGTCCAAGTCCATCGTTGAGAAGCTCAACGGAGAAGACATCTTTCGGCACAGTCCTTGGCTGAAGTTCTGAAGTGACAACATCAGATAGGGTATAGAACATATTTTTTCACACACTGCAGATGCTCTGCAAGTACAAAATATATGAAATAGGTCAGGTACATGCCACCAAAATGACATGAGCATTAATATATGTTCTTTACATTATCTTGAGAAGATTTGAGAAGGATACGATTGCACCATGACTCTGCACGATTGGTATCCTTGAAACGGAAAACAAAAACGGACGAAGCGTGTCCATGTCATGTCCATCAACAGGCCTAAGCTATCCGCATCAGACTCTACAGGATTCATGGCCCGGCCCTTGGTTTTTCAAATGACACGGCCTGTATGTATTCTGGCGCCTCTAAGAGACTTGTCTGAGAGTCAGTCAGCAGGACAGAACAGTTCGATCCAGTTCAATGAATGGCAACCACAGTCAATCCTTAGTCATCAAACACTGGCATCCCAAGTCGTTTCAGTCAATCGTGGATTCGAACTGACGGATGACACGTAATGTTAATATTGTCATTGTAACATTGTACTGTATATTGATTATTATGCTTGACTTAGTAGTGGGTGAATGGTCATCAATCAATCATTCACGGCAGGCGGTCATCAAGCTCTTGCACCACCACCTAGAACTGCTTGCTCAGAAGGGACTGGACAAGTTTATTCCAGGTTGGCGGAGACAGAACGATCCAGTGTGTGATCCGGACTCACGTGCTCCTTTGCTGCGATTTGTGGCGGATGAGGAGGGTTTGCAGAACCGTGCGCTGCATTTTCTGTTCAGCTTTGCCGGTCTGAGAGGAGCCATTACTCCCGAAATCTGTCATCCAAAGTGGAACTGCTGGAAGCGGTCCAAAAAACATGCTGGTCTTGAATACGATATTTTACGCTTGACGATAGCTGCCAACTACTCTCACGGTACAAAGTTGACAGGCGAGCGACAGTCCAAGATGCGTGGGTACTTGAAGAGTTTTTTGGCGAAGCAGAGTGATGAATACTTTCAAGACTTGGCTGATGAAATTATGACGGATCGGCGACGGGAATCCAGCGGGCTGACTGCAGCAGACGCCCGGGATCTTGTAGAGGAATACCTGGACTGCCCCTCCATTCGGCACAAAGGAGAGTTTGAGCCTTGACACTCATCAACGTACCGTAGTATAGTCAATATATACTAATTATTCTACTATTGAAACATATTTTGTTTCCCCTTTATGATATGTATATATATATTATATATTTTTTTCTCTCAATAAACGGACGAGTCGATAGTCCAAACCTTCTTAGAAGGTCCTTAGCCTTTTGTGTCTCACTCTTAGTAACTCAGAAAGTAGAGCCCCTATTGGAATCTAGTCTGGGCCTGGGGTATCGAATTGGGAGTTGATGCTGACTGGCTTACTGGTAATCGTTGACGGAATCAACTTGAATTGCAGAGCCTGGCCTCGCCTAAGGGAGGTAACGTAGCTAGCCGCCGCTTGCCTACTCGGACTCTGATTGCTAATTTATTATTAGAAATGAACCAGCGTCAAGTCAAGTGTCAGTGGTTTAGTAGAGAAAAATCATCATCATGTTCGCTCCTTTTATAAGTTTGCCTATGTTTGACCCATTCCCAATCAGGTTAAGAACAAATCCTGGTTTGGCATCCTGAACGTCTTGGCATTGATGGTTAAAGACTGGTCAATTCTGCGGGAAGCCTCCCATGCCATTCTCCAAGAGTCTGCAGGCAGTGTCGCTTGACAGTCAAGTCGCCCGCACGCCGACAACCATCGCGTCGAGGTACCACTTACCACAACAACCAATCCGAATAGATTGATTAGCAAAGGCCGTCCCATGTTTAAAAGTGTTGTGTATGTGTTTCAATCATACTAATAGACAAATAGAAACAAAAATATATAGAATCAACAATTATGTAATATGACATGATTCCTGGCAGTGAGCAACCCACACTAACCAAAAGCAGGGTTTGTCCGTGACGCTGGCTTTGAAAGAACCTCCTTACCTTGTGAGTTGTTTCACAGAAACCTGTGACATCCTGCGACTGTGTTACTACTAAACTAACTACAGTACAGCATTTTTGATGAATGTTTGCACCGTCCACAAGTCTTGATTGAATTGAAGACACCTCGCCGTTACTGCTCCGGAGCCAAGGTTGATGCCGAGGCCGGTGACGATGACGGCGGCGGTGATGACAATGCTGATGATGAACAGGATTCCGACAACGCTGAGGCTGAGGTGGGTCCAGCTGGTCGTGATCAGCCCTTCAAAAAGAATGAGCTCTACAAAGCCTACAAGAACAAAGGTCCGCGCAAAATGTTTTGCGACATTATGTCAACAGACAACCTTCGGGCAGTTGCATGTATGATTGTTGCAGTGACGCGCCCCCTGCACAAACAGTATGTGTCAGACCTGAAAGCTCAGCAGGACTTAGACACTATTCTCCAGTGGAACGTTCCTAAGCACCACTTACTGACTTGTTTGTCATGTTCGTTTCTGTCTGTTAAAACACAGGTTGATGAGATGTATTTTTTTGAACCGTTACCAAACACCTTTGAATTTTACACTGGTCCTCTCAAAATAAAATGATCTTGTATATTTTAAAATTGGCCCAACGGTTAACGTTACGTTGCGAGTGTGTTTTCCACAATGCAGCTGAGGCTGATCGGTCTTTGGGAAGTTCTATGGGGACTGTGATTGCTATCGCGCACAAGCAGTCGAGCTTGGACCTTTGTATAGAAATGAGGGTGGCAATGCGCTGCCGTCCTCCTGTTGATATCACCGACGTGCAGGAAGACGTTTTGCTGACAGAGAAGGCTTCCAAATTTGCGATGGAACTAGCTGGCAGTTTTGCGTGGAGTGAGCAGTTCTGTCAAATGACATTTCCTTTGGCCGCGGCCGCACTTCTTTCTGATGACGTCCAGAAAAGAACACGAGGTATGACGCATCTCAAGAAATTGGTAATGGCCATCAACAAAGCGGAGGCTTTGTTAGCAACCAGGCCCGATCTGCAGGGCTTGTTGGATACACTGGCGTTTCAAGAGGAAACTCTGGCAAGGGAGCTCATGGTGCACCTTGAGAGGGGTGGGTTCCAGCTGAATCATGAAGAGACCCAAAAATGTCAGCAAGTGATGAGAGAGTTTTGCTCTGGCACTTCCTCAACAAAGGAGATATTGGAATCCACGTTTGGCCACCTTTCATATGTTTCCAATGCTTCCAACAAGAACAAGCGGATGTCGACCATGGGGACATGGTTTTATGCGGCACCCAGCCCGTACGTGGATAGTTCTGGCATGACTCAGTGCTTGCCGACTGAGCGAGATTGGCTGAAAGCCTGCTCTGACTACGGAGTGGCAAGCAAAGAGTCAGCAGCACTTTTTTGGAAAGCATTTCGCTCAGAGGCGACCAAGCTTCCCCGAGCAGAAGGAGTCAACATACCGGTCACGGCAAAAGGTGTGCAAAAAACACAGTGGCGATTGTCTGGCCCAGCCTCTCACTACAACAGAAGTGCAGCGGCAGCGTACTTGCTTTTTGATGCCCCTACTGGATTTGTGAATTGCAGTTTCGCATGGGCAGGCAGGGTATGGCATCAATGTTTTGTTGTTGTTGCTGTTGTTGTTGAACTTTGCTCAATTTTAATTTAAGTTAAGATTGTTTTAATTTGCGCCAATTCATAGTGATAGTGCAAGTTTACCACCAGCATTTAAATTTACAATGCCATTTCATCGCAGACTGATGTGGTTATTTATTAACATTACTTTTCTTCAGATTGGAATGACCACTCTTACAGTGACATTTGCAATCCTCAGGAGTTTTCCTGATGCGTGGTGAAATCTTCCTGGAGCCTGAATCTGACGAGTTTTACCTCAGCCTAGGCTTCCAAGGTTGGGCTGCGCTGGGAATCAAATTGGATGTGCATTTGATTGGAGACAAGGACTCTTAGCTTGGCACTATTATAACAATAAACAATTAAACTACTTGAGATATGAATGATTAATTATGTTTTAATTTATGCTTTTGAAAGACTGACTAGACGACTAAGACTAGACAAAGCTCCGAAGCAATTATTATTAGCTAAGGAGTATCTCACCATCAGCAACGCTGAAATGGGAGAATGTCATTTCCTACACAATTTCACATTTGATGAGGGCAGCGCTTGTTGGAAATTTGTCCAGCATCGTGTACTCCCTCCTGCATGCCTGCCAGAAGACATTCCAGCAGATGTTGGTACCGCTTTCGAGGTGATCAAGAGAGATGAATGGATTCTGAGAGGGGGCCTTCGAGCTGGTATATCACTCACTCTACCAACACTGCATCAAATCATGGCAGCAATCAAGTGCCCAAAGCCAACAAAAGGCACTGGAAAAAATGGCCGTGTGAAGAAAGTTGACATAGTCACTGCTTTGGTTCAGTACTTGTGGCCAGACGCTTGTGAAGACTTTGTCAAGGACACTGTTGGCAAAGTCATGGGTTATGCTACCAGCACTGAAGACATTGACCTGTCAGTGTTGTGTATGGTTTCAGAGTTGGACACTGACAATCAGGAATCTTTTCAGAGACTCAAAACACAAGCCGCGCGACGGATAGATCGGTCACTCTATGGCAAGGGACGGGAAGCTGGAATCCGTGCTGCAAAAAAAGAGCTTGGGACTGACAAGGCGGCTGCGTGTAAAGTTGATGAAGCAGCAGCGGAGAAGGGCAAAAAATTGGTGGAAAACAACCTTGAGAAGGAGAAGAAAGAAAATATCAGACAGTGGAACCTCACACCTCCAGAGCTGAAACTACTTCTACCTGGAAATGGGGATGTCATCGGTCGATTCTGGATGCGGTGGCATCCAAAAAACCACTGGTGGCGGGTTACATACCCTACAAAGAGTATCCTGACTGCATTCTGCCCTGCCCTACCCTGAACAACAAACAGATGTGATAAAGTATTTACGAAACTATACGTATAATTAGATACCTGTTTTTTTTTCTGAGGGCCGGCTGTCATTCTAGTCTAGGGTCCAGACTGGGTCCTTGATTAATTCCTCGACTTGAGCTGACAGGCGAAGATTCGGGGAAACAGAGCTGTCAAAGATCCTTTCCAACAGCTCAATGCCCAACCGCGTTGTCCGCTATTCAGACAGTACTTCAGTTTGCCTATGATCGCTGGAATGCCGAGAACCCCGACAATCAATATGAGATGTACCTTAGTTGTCGTTTATGTTGTATTGTTTTTGTATGTTTATGTTTGTTTTTATGAAAAGACGTGCCCAAGACTGTATTAAACCGAGTGGACATTTAAATTCCTCATTCTGTGCTTAAATAATATGTTGTTCAGCTGTCAATTTTTCATTTTGCATTCACTTTGAAGTGTCTGATTCGATGGATATCCGCCTTGTCTTGACTCAGGCCTCCTGAACAAGAACTACGAGACCACATTGCAACCCTGGGCATTGAAGAAACGTGATCTGAGCCCTGGAAGTTTGCAGCCTTCACCGCTACAGTAACACCTGTTTTGAAAAACAAGACAGGTGGACGCACGATTAAGAATAAAAAACAATCCAGTGAACCATTTAACTGTTTGTTTTCTGTTATGTTTTTCGCAACACAAGATCGTTGTGAGATAACAATTAATAGTTCAACGGCTGAAAGGAAAATCCTGCACGTTACATGTCATGAGACAGACTCACCGACCGTTTGATTTGTTTTAGTACACCAGCACACAAACAACAATTTGCGTGTCTGTCTGACAACCGAGACAGATTCAGAATCAGAATAATTCAGTCTCTGACGGAGATTCTGGCGGACAAGTGGAAGGTGTCTGTCTGAAAATCAGACGGACCGCAAAGAAAAACACAGACAGAGAACAGTAACGAGAGTGAGAAAGGACCTGTGACACTGTGGCGCTCAGCAATGTCTTAGTCGTTTGAATCATGAGACATAGAACAACACCAATGTGGTATGTTGAATTTTGGTTCCTGTGCGCGCTCCTTTTCATGTCTGTCAGTCACGCACGATGGCAATGTTCCTGAGGGGTCTTCGTGGCGTAATTCAATTAGATTAGCTTATTACGGCCTTATTTGTAACATTGAAAAATAAGTGTGGATTAAGTACTCTGGAAGGCTTGGGGGGGTTGGGCTGGAGGGGGTTGGGCCCTTCATGATTTCAGGGCAGCCACCAGCTGCTGAACTGCTGGTGGGTGGCACAGGTCGCCCTGCAAGCTTTCCATCCGCATCAGGCAATGAGACACGATCCCCCTCCTCATGGTCATCCCCCTTTCCATCCACATCAGGCAATGAGACACGATCCTCCTCCTCATGGTCATCTGCCTTTCCATCAACTGAGCCTGAGCCAGCATTTGCCTTTGGTTTCGGCATTGTTTTGCAAGCAGTTTTTACCTTTGGCTTCACGGTCACACGGACAGGGGCCACAGGGCGGTTCCCAAAAGCAAGATCTTCTGGCCCCAATAATGGGGCAGGCAGCACTGCCAATCGATGCAGTGCAGGTTGCGATAGACATGAAATGTCAGGCGCCACCCATCCTGCCTGGTCAGGCGACATATTGTTCTCTCAACAAAGGATTTCAATTAACTTTGCGCCTCACTCAGTAGCCAAGGTTTCTCCCCAACCACCTGTGCCGCTTTCATGAACTCTCGCCTCTGTCTTTCAGACAATTGCCGGCGGCCTGTGCCACAAAGGTTTTCAAAAGCAGGAAGCCATTCAAGGGCACTGGCCGGAGTGAACATCAAAGGCGATTGTGCAGGGTCATCACTGGCCATGTATTGCCAAACCTGGAGGATGATATCTCCATCCATTGGAGGATACCCAGGGAGCTCATCAATATGACATGCAGGAACATCCTCTTTGAGAGTCTTCTAATGTTCTTGCTGTGACAGCTTGGTTGCTTAATAAGTACAAGCAGACTGTATATGCAAATTAAAGCAGCTACAATAGCTCCGGGACAGGGATAGAATATAAAAGTGTGTCACCTTTGAAAGATGAATGGAGCTCAACTCAAAGACCAAAGCTATCTCTGTTGTTGTGGGTTGTTTCAGTGCACTTCTGCAGCGCACATTGCCAGGGCACGTTCTGCAGCACCCATGGTGTTTGGTGTGTTATTGCTTATTGACCATTACAGTTCCATGCAAAAGAACAATACTATTCACACATGCACATAAGCTTTCACCATGCAAGGTGCTCCTGAAATGGTTCCCTGCCTTTGCGGCCAGACCACGTGCCTCAGCTGCAAAAAGACTGTGGGGTTGAACACAGAATGGACATATGGCACTTCTCAGCACCAAAAAGAGCACTTGTGCAGCACTCTAAACAGTTCATGGCAACAAGCTAGCAAGTACCAGCAAACGCACAGCGAGGCATTTTTCTCATTGCGGCTTTTGTCGTTTCAGGTTCTGCCGGTCCTGTGCATCTTCCGGATACTCAGGCTCATCATCCACCCCCCTGTTTGGCTTCCTTCTCTTGCCTTTTTTCTTATTTTCTTCCTTTTCTGTCTCACCCGCTTTGGCCATCAGGGTCTTGATTTTCTCCTCATACTCGTTTTTCGTCTTCTGCTGCTGCTGCTGGTGTTCATGTTGTGCCCGCTGCAACTGGTGCTGATGTTGCTTCGCCAGCCAATGTCAGATTTTGCCGAGTCCCGCTGTCTCCAAGCTTCCTGCAGCAAGGCCACCTTGTTCTCCATATCCTTGCACAGCTCGGCGTACAGCAGCTCCTGGCCTTGCAACTTCTGCCGAAGCTCCCGGATGTGCTGGAGCAATCTCTCTTGCTCCGCAACCTTCTGATCCAGCTGTCCTGCACAGGGAGCGTGGAATACTGACGGTTACAGCTGAACCTTACTATTAACACAGTTTTGAAGCACTTTGCAGCACATTAAAAACTGACTGCACTTTGCAGCGCAGTGGTCCTTGGAAACCCGCTTGATCCTGAAGCCGCTGGTCAATTGCCGCCTTCAAAGCGCTCTGGCTGAAAGCAAGCTGCGCTTCCAGGGCTGTAACCCTTTGGGTCAGGGCTGCCACCTGGCCAAAAGCTCTCTCTTGGCTCCTGACCAAATGCCGCCACTCCTGGCACGCATTATACCTGTGCCCACGGCCGCGGCAGGCCCTGGTGGTCCCAGCGTCATCATTGCCATCGCCAGGCTCGCTGGGCGGAGGGGCCTGCCCATCGGCAGCTGCGCCGGTGGTGGCGGAGCTGCCGCAGCTTGAGCTTGGCCCGGTCTTGACGGCGGCCTTGATGGCGGTGGCGTTGCCGGATGCGCCGGTCGAATCCCCGGAGCTGGCGGCGGGTGTTTTGGCTCTGCCGGCTTTTGCTTTTCTGTCTGAGGACAATTCTTTGGCTCTGCCGGCTTTTGCTTCACATCCGGCTCTGCCGGCTTTTGCTTTGCGGTCTGAGTCTGAGAATCCTTTGGTTCTGCCGGCTTTGCAATCTGAGAATCTTTTGGCCGGACCGGGTAATTATTGGCTTTGGCACGGCCGGCATTTGCTTTGACCCTGTCCCTGTTTGCTTTGGCTGGACAGGCATTGGCTTTGGAAGCAATGGTTGGGCTCCAGGTCCCAAAGAGACTGGTGGACCAGTCGGCTCTGGCAGGGATTTCCCAGTCATGGCTGCTCGGTCGCCACTCTGCTGTATATAATGGTTTTTAAATTTGATTTGATAGGTGTTTCCTTGCTCTGATAGTTTATTTGATAGTTGTTTTCTTGAAAACCTATGATGAACATCTCATTCTGTTTTCCTTCTCTTGCTTTAGTTCTCTCTCTATTTTGCTGTTCTTGCTTGTGGCTTTTCTTGAGCAACTTGCAATGAACAGTCTTTCATACAGCCAGCTGTGCAATAAACCATTAACTTTTGCAGCGCCCATTGTATATTATAGCAGCCATAGCGTGTTTGCTTGTGCAATTTCTCTATAGTTGCAAATTACAGCATGAAACTGCATGGTAAAATGCTTGTG